TCGGCGCTAAACCTGCGCCGCCGCAGCCCTTTAGCTTCCTCTCCTTCCTCCGCGCCGTCCCGTATTCCCGCTCTGTGTGGCGGCCAACTCCGAGGGAGTGTTTAATCCTGCCTTTGAGCGGAGCGAAGGGGAGAAGAGAGGAAGAGGGACGGCCATTCTTTCTCCCTCGTCTTTCAGCTGCGCCGTTCCACCGCTGTGCTTACCCACCCTCTTCAAAGCTGCTCTTTTCTTCTTCTTTCATCTCTTTTTCTTTTTTCTTTTTTTTCCCCCTCTTCTGTTTGGTTTTCTTTTTCTTTTTTGGCATGCTCTATCCTGCTTGCTCTCTTCAGCTCTGGAAGATGAGTCAAATACCCATCCCCTGTGAATATCTCAGACAGAGAGGCCTCCGACTCGAGCTTTTATTGCTTTGTTTCTCTATCCAATTCTTAACTTTTCTCCCCTTTTTACTCCTATGTTGGTTTTTCTCCGTCTGGTGTGTGCGTGTTTGTATGTTTCCGTGTGTGTGTGTGTGTGTGCGTGCATGGGTTAAATTGAAGGCTTGGATGAGGTTTTGTCAGCCATATGAATTTAGTCATTCCGGCTTTTGTTCTGTGGCTTTCATGTCCCTGCTCATGCCCGCCAGTGATGTGTGTTGTAGTCGGTGTCCCCTGAAAGTCCGAAAAACATCTGTCCAGAAATGCCACTCGCTGGGAAGGAAGAATTGATATTTCTAAGGCTATGTCATCTTTGATATGTCTCAAAAACTGCGAATGAGTTGTCTAAGTGCAGAGGTCTTACGTTTTGATCTATTTCTGATTTCTTTTTTTTTGGTTTGTTCCGTTTTGAGCAGACGAGCGTGAGCAGGCGTGTCCCGATGAGGATGACGACGAGGAGGTGCGGAAGCTCAAGGTCTGCATCGAGCTGAAGGGCCTGCGGCTCAGCAAGCCGGCGGCGGGCGGCGCCTCGCCCGACGGGCCCTACATCAAACAGGAGAGGCCGTGGCCCCCGCCGCGCCTCCTCCAGCCCCAGCCGCCGCCGCCGGCCAATCAGCGGGAGCGCAAGACCGAGGACCGGGGCCTGGCGCAGAGGATCGACATCAACAGGAAGTGGGGCTGCGAGAAGCTTCTTAATGGTGAGAGCCAGCCGCCCGTCGTCGCACAGGCCGCCGTTTTTTTTTTTTTTTCTTTCTTCTTTTTTCCTTTTTCTTTTTCTCGGAGTTCAGCTAGGGTAACGGAAATCTATCTTTGGCTCACGTTTCACTTTCTTCTTGAGCAGTCTGTCTGTTTAGGGGATTTCCCAAGAGCAAGTCAGAGAGGTTTGTGTGTGTGCGTGTGTGTTGGGGGGGGGTTTGGTGGTAGCGGAAGCAGGGTGAAGAACTCTTCCTTCCGCTAGGGGAAAGGATGGCGGGCTGGAAAAAGGTCACATGCGAGCTAAGCCACCAACACCCCCCCCCCCCTCTTGGGTTTGGCGTGCGTTTAAGCGGTCTGCTGCAGGTTCTGTGAGGACGATGAAAGAGTAAATGAGGGGAAACGGCCTGCGGGGATAGTCGGGGACATGGGCAGGTGTAGTGGGACTAATTTATGATAAATTATCTCGTTGTTTTCCTTTATACCCCCCCCACATCCTCTCATGTCCAGTCTCATGAGTAAATGTGAGATTTTGTGTATGGAGGGGTGGAATCCTTTCCCGTACGTCCCCCAAACAGAGGATAAGGGTGGTTCCGATACTAAAGGAAGAATATACAATGGAGACATTTCCAGCTTTTGATTGGTCACTGATTTTTTTTTTCTCTCTCTTTCACCGTTTTAGATAAAATCACCCTGGTAACTGCCACATTTAACTCTAAGTTTAGTCACCGCGCTGTGTCAGAGCTGCGGTGTTCTTTTTTGTTTTGTCTCACAATACCGGCGCTGCGCAGGATTTCAGAGGCTCCGGCCTGTCATTCCCTCGGCGGGGATGACGCCGAAGGCCCTCATCTATTAACGCATCAACCAGACAGAATCTTCCTCTCTCTCTCTCTCTGTGAATTTTCTGTGTGGCTCTCTGAAACGCCATTCCTTAACCCCCCCCAAACCAGACTCAGGCCACATAGAACATAGCGCATTTATTCCCAATAAGCTATTAAACCGTATCTTGACATTGTGGTTTCGAGGGCAGGTTTTTTAAATTTTTTGTGTAAATATGGATTATTAGCCGATGAAACTCAGCCGACCTATGTTTGTTTATAGATATTACTCCCGGAAGTGTCCTTGCAGCGCGGGCTTGTCTCCATAGGGTCGTTTATTTCGGCCTGCCCGGCGCTTGCTCGTTTTTTTTCTTTTTCTTTTTCATTTTAATGCTTTTTTTTTTTTGTTTAGCCTTTTTTTTTTACCCCGGCTAGCAGACGTGCTGAGCTCCCAGACAGCTCTGTGTGCTCATTAATAAACGCGGGCTGAGAGATGGCCTTGCAATACCTTCCTGTCCTCCCTTTCCACTGAGCTCCCTCTCACACGCTTCCTCCCCTCTTTTCCTCTCTTTTCTCCCTCCGCTTTAGGACTGGCGGCTCCCGCCCTTCCCCCCGGCCAGCTGAAGGACAGAGCGCATCCGCATCCGAACCCCTTCTCAGGTGACCGCGGCCTCCGGGAGCCCAGGAGGGGCCCCCCTTCCCCGGGCCCGGAGCCCTGCCTGGGGGGGACCCCTCCCCTCAGGCCCCGTCGCCATAGCGACTCGGACAAACCCAAGGGCAAGCGGCCGTGCAAGACCAAGCACACCGGCCAGAGGGAGCGCGAGCGGGAGCGGAGGAAGGAGGCGGCGCCCGGCAGCCCCGGCCAGCTCTCTGCGGCCGAGGACGACAAGGTGAGCGCCGGTCAGCCGCCCGCACGCACGCCCGCCCGCCACCCGGGGCGTCCGGATGTTTGCGGCAGCAGAGGCCGCCTCGGTTTCGCCTGTGGGCGCCTCTGATTATGCAGCCGGGGAAAGGGAGGGGAGGGGGGAAGGAAGTATGTTTACAATGTTTAGAGGTTCTGCTGGAGCTCTGACCTCGCCGTGGCCTCGCCGGCTCCCTGCGGAGGGCCCCCACACGCACGCACACACACACACACACGCACGTGTTCGTCTCCGGCCCTTTTTTAATTGCGGAGCGCGTGTCACGTTTGGTGTTTTTTTGCGTGCGAGCTGGTCGGCTGCGTGTAGGCGAGCGCCGCCGACAGCCGAGCCCTGGAGCAATTATACGTCGCGCTGGGGTCCTGAGTGAGCGTGAGGAATGTGGCAGCCCTGGTGGAGCGCATGAAGTTCAAAAGCAGGGAGGGAGAGGAGGGGGGAGGGAGGGAGAGAGAGAGAGAGAGAGAGGAGGGGGGTTGGAGGGGAAAAAAAGAGCACGAGGGGAAAAACTGAGGGTGAAAAGGGGGGGAAAAAAGAGGCTATTCTTTTTCCTCCTGTGCTGCTCTCCTCCCCTGCTCCTCCTCAGCCTGACAGCTGCTTCAACATGGAATTCCACTGAGAGGGCACACACTCTCACACGCACACACACACACACACACACACACACACACACAGGGCGACTCCCTCTTTGGCGTGCTGCCCTCGGAAGGCCCTGTTGGTTTTAGCGGTTGAAGAAAAGTGGCGTTGCCAGCCTGCGGTGTTCCGGGGCGTAAACGGCTGGTGTGAAAGCTGAATTTTTGTTTATTAATTTAGCTTATTTTCTGCGTGTGGAGGAAAAAGGAAAGGGAAACACACACACCAGAGGTCACAAAAAGAGAAAAAAGAGGCTGTTTTTTGTGCATTTTCTTGGTTCTAAGCTCAGTGAAATGACGTTTGTGTGTGAGTGTATGTGTTTGTGTGTGTGTGTTTGAGTGTGTGTGTGTGTGTGTGTGCGTGCGGATTTGTGGCGTCTCGGCCGTGCCCTTGAGAGCTTGTGTGTCCCGTCTGCTATGTGGCAGCGGATCTTACCCTTCTCTCCCTATCTCGCTTCTCTCCTCAGCTGACTGAGCAGCGCAGCGCTCCGAGGAAGAGAGCCGCCTCTCCTAATCATTATCCCTGCTCTCCAGTCGAGCCCCGCTCCCCCACCGCGCTCTGTCCGCCCGCCCTGCAGCCCCAGGCCAACAGCAGGGCTCTGTCGGAGGTGGCCGGCCTGCGCCGGACCCCCCCTGCCGAGCCCTCGGCCGTGCGGCCCATCCCGCCCGAGGCCCGCCGCCTCATCGTGAACAAGAACGCCGGCGAGACGCTGCTGCAGCGGGCGGCGCGGCTGGGCTACGAGGTAATAAGGCTTCCCCTT